GATTTTCTTCAGATTGTCAAGTGGGTGTTGTACGGTATGGAGCAGCACGTGCCTTCGGAATGCCCTAATTAGATTGTAACATAAATAAGTTAAGTTATAACCCTAATTCAGTGTGGAATAAAAATAAATCCGCCGCTAGGATCGTGTATGTGGACAAATTGTCAATCCACGTAAATTCTTGTATTATTTTTCTATTATTCTGTTAAATTGATTGTTCATCGCACACACAAAACACAACCGTCTAATTAAGCATATGGGCTCCTTGGGTATGACGATTATTATGAAGATTGTGCGTGTATAAGTTGGTTTATTTGATCATATCAGAGATGGGGTGCAGTTAGATTTTGATGTTTATGTTAAATATTTATTGATTGGTTTAATTAATCAATTCCTTCTCTTCTGCATGATGTGGACTGGGAGAATTTTGTATTCGTTCTTGTTTGCTGTTCATTTGAGGAAATGGATGCTTTTTTGTTGATGATGGTGATTACTGATTATGGTTTGTATTGTTTTATTTTGGGAGAATTACGTCTAGGTCTCCTGAGATTTGTCACTTAATTATTCAGGTCCTTTGACATTTAAAATATTACACACAGACACTATGAGGTTTGTACGTGCGTAACACTTAAACCCCTACTATAAATATATTTGTTAATAAATTACACTTAGACTCCCTTAAAATTTGTAGGTATATAATACTTAAACCCTTTAAGTTTAAAATATTATACTTAGACAAAAAATATTCTAATTAAAGATAGAATATCAAATATTTTAAATTTTACAACTAAAATTCATGGTCTATTATATCATTTATTGAAGTAAAATTAAAATTAAAAATTTAATTTTTTCTTAAAATATCGTAATTAATATACAATTATATTATCTATTGGAATAAAACTAACAAATCAAACAAGGGGTTTAAGTCATTCATAATAGAACATGAATTTTACATCCAAAATTCATGTTCTATTATGTCATTTATTGAAATAAAATTAAAAATAAAAATTTAGTTTTTTTAAAAAAAAAAATCATAATTAGTATATAATTAGACTATCTATTAGAATAAAACTAAAAAATTANGTTTTTTTTTTTTAAAAAATCATAATTAGTATATAATTAGACTATCTATTAGAATAAAACTAAAAAATTAAACAAGGAATCAAACTTTAATGGACACAATATCTTTTAGCTTTAATTAGTGTAGTTTGGTATTTTAATTTGGTCATTTAAACGACCAAATTAAATTCTAATAAACAATATAATTGTATACTAATTACGATTTTTTAAGAAAAATTTGAATTTTTATTTTTGAATTTATTTCAACAAATGATACAATAGAACATGAATTTTAATTGTAAAATTTAAAATATTTAATATTTTATCTTTGATTGAAGTATTTTTGGTCTAACTATAAGATTTTAAACTTAAGGAGTCTTATTAATATATGTTTACAAACTTTAGGGAGTCTGGGTGTAATTTATTAAATGATATATTTATAGCAGGGCTCTAAGTNATATGTTTACAAACTTTAGGGAGTCTGGGTGTAATTTATTAAATGATATATTTATAGCAGGGCTCTAAGTGTTATGCGCATACAAATTTCAGAGAGTCTGTGTGTAATATTTTAAATATCTAGGGTTCTCAGTGATTAAGTAATAAACCTCAAGGAGTCTAGGTGTAATTCTCTCTTTTAATTTTGTTCAGCTTACTTAGCAAGAGTCTTTTGTTGTCACCAATAATTTTCCATTTTTTGTGTTTGTTTTTGTTGATTTCACCCAGATAAGTGGTTTTGGCTGCAGGTGAAGTTGCATTGCCTGGTGGGAAAGCAGAGGAGGCAGATGCAGATGATGCTGAGACAGCAACTAGAGAAGCAAGTGAAGAGATAGGCTTGGATCCTTCATTTGTAAATATTGTAATTACATTTGAGCCATTCTTGTCCTTGGTAAGTATAATATGCCTATCGCAGCAATATCCTTACACCAGCTTAGTTAATCTCCACTTGGGCAGGATCATAATGTCTCTGGGAGAGTTGTTTTAACATTATTGGCGACATAGTTGCTTCTGCGAAGGGTTTTTGGCATTGCAATCACATAACACAATTTTTGAACCATTGTCATTCTTTGAAAGCCCTTTATACTTCCTGCGATATTTGGCTATTTAGGATTTAGAAGAGTAATACTAGTATCTTCGGTATATTGATTCTTACCTCATTAAACCATTAACGGTTTCTTAATAGAACGCTAAACAGTATGGTGAATCTATTACCGACAATCAAAGCAGAAGGGAGTGTAGTGTTCATGAGATGACGATGCAATTTACCCTTTTTTTTTTTGTGTAACACACTAACAATTTTATCTTTCGTATGCAGCACCTCGTTAGAGTAATTCCTGTTGTTGGCATACTTTCTGACAGGAAAGCCTTCAAACCTGCTCCTAATGCTAGTGAAGTGGAAGCAGTATTTGATGCTCCATTGGAAATGTTTCTCAAGGTTTCAAACTTTACTTCCAACTCTGTTTATTCACGTTTTATCTAGTTGGAATTCATATGGTTTTGGAGGTTGAATTTTGAAATGGTTGGTTCAGGATGAAAATCGGAGATCAGTAGAGACGAAGTGGAGGAGAGGCATGTGGCTGGTTCATTTCTTTGACTATAAGACAAATGATAAGAAGTATGTGATATTTGGTTTAACTCGGATTTTGATTCGGGTAGCATCTGTTGTTTACAAAAGACCACCGGCTTTCTTGGAGCAGAATCCAAAATTTAAGGTGCCTTGGATTGTGGACATAATAATGCTTAGATTTATTTTAATTTAGTTTTGTTTTTAACCATATTATTGTCCTCTCTGAGCTGGACGTGTTGAACTGGTAATTTTATTGCTGATCTGTTGCACTTTTTACTGAACATCTGCTGCTCATTTAGACTAAACCCAGGCTTTGAAAAGAACTGAACTCCGAGATGTTGGAGGCAATCGGCAACAAGTCTGAAGTAACATTTTCGTAGAGTTTATTGACAAAAAACTCGCTCCAAGTCTTTCTCCTAAACTTCCCCCAGGTTTGTCATCGTTAATGACTTCAAAGTTTTCGTTTGACTGCTTGGTGTTCTCGCAGGGCATCCTTCGGTGCACAGAATGCTTATTCCACTGCATCGACATCTTGGGATAATTTCTCAGTTTTGGAGTTAGTTTGAGTTTGCAAGTGTGATAGTTTAGATCTGTTCAGCAAAAAAGAAGAGCTACAAAGCTTCAGCTTCAATGAAAATTATAATAGCCAAAGCTCTGCTGACTTAAATATGACAGTGGCCTTCCTATAAGTCAGATTGTTTGTAAATGTGTTTTCTGTGGAACTTCAATGTTGATATCTGGAAACATTGAAATATTGTATACAATCTTCATTCACTTGGGCCAATTTTGATGGGTGTCGAAAAATGTCACTTGTGACTTGATCAATCACAATCATTGAATGATAAGAAGTCCTAATAAATACTAGGATTCAAAGTAAAATCAAGCAGTGGTTGATCAAGTTTGTATTTTAAGTTTATATAGCATTATTTGCATTGGAAAGCTATGATATCAAGATAGCGTTTGAGTTTGCAAGGTTTCTCAGTGGGTCACAGTGGGATTAGGTATTCAAATATCAAAATTTTTGAAAGATGATATAGATTCGGGGTTAAATAGACCATCATATTCGATTAATTAGATTCGAATCAAAATCAACTCCCTTAACGAGCTTTATACATAAGTTGTAGTTTCCATCAAACCATATCTTGTTATAGCCCCCATCTGACCCCTGCACGTGCAAAATCCAGCGTGAGAAGTACAAAAGACAATGGTCCAGAAAGCTAGACCAACAAAAGCTTTGGCCAACGAACGTTAAGGAAAGAAATGTGATGCACAAATTACACTTTGACGCCTTCAACTATTGTGTTTTTCATTTGTGATCTTAGTTTCACATTAATCAATTATGAACAACCGTTACATATTTAATGGGACGTCGTTTCATTTTATTCTTTGAATTATATAAATTTTTTCACTTTGTCTCGACACATCAACAATTTNGTGATCTTAGTTTCACATTAATCAATTATGAACAACCGTTACATATTTAATGGGACGTCATTTCATTTTATTCTTTGAATTATATAAATTTTTTCACTTTGTCTCGACACATCAACACTTTTTATCTAAAAAAATAACATAAGTTTGTAATTAGGGAAATGTGAAATAATTCAAACACTGGAGGGGATAATATGAAAAATTCAATACTTTAAAGGACAAAGTAAAATTAAGTCCATAGTTTAGAGGGTCAAAGTATAATTTATCCACCCAAATCATAGGATCTATAAACCTAGAACAAATTTTTGAATGCATAAACTAATATTAATACGGTAATGTTATACTTACCAATTTTATTTTTTTTTATCAAATCTCCACCTCAAGTGATGTGGTACCGTTTTTCAATATCAAATAAGTGGGTCCTATTAATATTAAATGACATAGATTATACTTCATCATTTGATATAAAAGATTTAGTAAAAATTTTTAATAAGCATAACATTTTCCATATCAATAATACCCCATGGAGAACAAAATTGGAAAGGGGTTACTCTAGTAGTAGCTCAACCACCTAAGATCATCGTCCATAAATTTATCTTCAGACACCTAGGATATTAAAAAAAAGGATAATTTAATATGATAAAGTCTTCACAAGATCGAAAAATATTATTAGATCAAAGGTCCATTAATTTATTATAATAACTAAAACATTAAAAATAATAATAATAAAATCGCCCGAAATATAGTTCTTTGTTCTATTATTCATACATTTGTCTTTTGTGGAGAGATAATTTTGCACAAAGTGCAGCATTAATCAAAAAAAAATAATAATAATATCCTATAGAGAAAAAAAAAAAAAAAAATACTTTCTTTCTCCCCCCACTCTCCAAAACTCGGTAGCTCATAGGTTCCAATATACAACCGAAGGATCCCCCAAGTTTGGAAGAGGGAGCGCAACAACTTCGTCTCTAAAAAGCCTGTTCGCCCCTTCTAGACGACAATAATAACAAGAATCCCAATGAAGAACCAAGATTTCAAGACATTGCAGATAAGCTGTTTCCCCCTAGAATTTGATTCGAATACAGAATCTGCGACAAACCCAACTGCCAACGAAGCTGAAAGGTTGAGATACAACAGATCTGCATTTCTGATCTGCATCTTCGAAGGCGAAGATGGTGATCTGCGCCTAATTCTCACCGATCGATATTCAACACTTTCCACTCACTCTTGTGAGAGTCTCCTGGAATATACAATATTTCTTTTCTTACATTGTTGATTTAAAGTGAAAAGACCAAATGGGTTTCTCTGGTTGCAGGAGATGTTTCATTGCCTGGTGGGAAGACAGAGAAAGGCGATGCCAATGTCACTGACACAGCGTTGAGAAAGGGTATGGAGGACAGAGGCTTGGGCCTCTAGTTCCGATGGGTTAGTGTCTTGTTCCTGTCTAGTCCAGATAAACTAACGATGATTTATAAATTAAATAGGCTAAGAAGCAGTCATCAATCCTTATTCAAGAGGAAAACATATGACTACCCAATAAAATAATAAACTCTTATTATTAAATATGAAAAAATGGTCCCCAATCCATTTCTGAAATAGTTGATACTACCAAAACGTAGAAGAGCTCTGACTTCGTAGAAGAGCGACAATATCAATGGCATCTCCGAATTCTCTCTCCAAACTCGCTATGGATTCACAAACCGACGGTTTCAGTGGTTGTTCCCCAAGGCTCGTAGCCTTAGCTCAAGAGCTTCGTCTCTATAAACCTCCTCGATCGATTTATGAAATTGATGTTGAAGAGGAAAGCATTGAAGACAGTGCCGGGAAGGCTGTTTCTCAAGTGGGTTTTCCAGAGTCTGCAACCCCAATGGCCAATGAGCCAAAAAAGTTCAGACCCAAGAGAGCTGCAGTTCTGATCTGTCTCTTTGAAGGGGATGATGGTGATCTTCGTGTCATCCTCACTAAGAGGGCTTCCAAGCTTTCTACTCACTCAAGTTAATGCTTTTCTATTGGATTGAGCAATTTAACCACTGATTTCTGATTATTTAGCAAGTGATTGTCTTGAGTTGTGTATATTGTTACTGGTTGCTTTATTTGGTTGATGATGAATTTTCGATCTTGTATTAAGGTACACTGAACACCAACCTAATCTTGATAAAAAAAAGTCAATATTGCAATTACAACCACCTCAGTGAACAGAGGACACTTTGTCAGTTAATTAGAGTGTTATAACTCTTATATGAAATAGATCCGCAAGCGGTAATTGGAGGAGATTCCGCTCCTTTAGTTTATTGAAGTTCTTGTCTCCTTTCTTATCGGCAGTCTGCCCTCTTTGGACTTTTTGGACTTTTCAAACTTAGCGAACTGAAACATCTGAGTAGCTAAAGGAAGGGAAATCAACTGAGACACCATTAGTAGCAGCAAGCGAGAGCGGGTTGGGGGTTTGAAGAAAAACAAACATGAAGCTTTGTTCCTTAGCAAAGTGTTCACTTCTTTTTCGCTAGGTTTCATTCGATTTGTTGTGGATTGGATGATGGAAAAAATAGCAAGCCCTTTTACTTTCTAGTAAAGGGGGCAGAGAACTGTAATTGTGAAAAGGTTGGAAGATTTGGCCAAAGAAGGTGATAGCCCCGTAGATTCATTCCCAAAGGTGTATTTGTGTGGAAATTTAGAGCAAATTTACCTAGTGGTTTGTTTTCATTTAGCAGCTCGGTGTCATTGGTTGATGATGATCATTATAGTGTGTAAGGGCCTAAAAGTTTTGGCCAATGACAATTTTGATAGTTTAGCAAGCGGGTATTGTTGGTTGTTGATGATGGTTGCATGTGAATAGGTGCTATTGGGAGTCTTTCGTTGATGATGATGATCAATATGCTTGTATGCAGCAAATGAATCTTAAGGCAATTAAACTAATGGATTTTCTCCAGTTTGACAAGTGGGCGTTATATGTATTGGTCGGTCTAATGACCACATGGGTTCATTTGGTATGACATGATTATGAAGATTGTGCATGTATGGGTTTATTTGATTTAGTATTTGTTCATTGGTTCCATTTGTTTTTTTTGTTCTATGATGTTGGCTATGGAGATTTGTGTGACTTTGTTCTTGTTTTCTGTTCATTGAAGGAAATGCATATTTTCTCTTGATGATAGTGATTATGGTTTTTAATGTATTCTTGTTCAGTTTTCTTAGCAACACTCTGTTGTTGTCACTAATAATTGCTTTTTTTTTTTTTTGGGGGTATTGGTTTTTGTTGATTTCACCAAAATAAGTGGTTTTGGCCGCAGGTGAAGTTGCGTTGCCTGGAGGGAAGGCAGAGGAGGCAGATGCAAATGATGTCGAGACAGCAACTAGAGAAGCCAGGGAAGAGATAGGCTTGGATCCTTCATTTGTGAATATTGTGACTACCCTTGAGCAGTTCTTGTCCTTGGTAAGTATAATATGCCTTTCACAGCATCATCCTTACACCAGCTTAGTTAATGTCAATGTGGGCAGGATCATGATGTCTCCAGGAGAAGTCTTTTGACATTATTGATGAATTGCATGTACATAGTTACTTCTGTTGAGGGTCATTGGCATTTCAATACACATTCACAAATTATTGAACCATTGTAATTCTTTGAAAATCCTATTGGTAGCATATGTCCTAATGAGAAGGTTTCTAGAATTTGATCATCAAGTGACACGCATACACTGGACATCCTTTGATATGTAAAACCTAGGCTTGAAACTTCAAATTTAGTGTTTCTCTGCATTTTTTCTGATGTAACATACTAACAATTTTATCTTTCGTATGCAGCACCTCATTATAGTAATTCCTGTCATTGGCATACTTTCTGATAAGAAAGCCTTCAAGCCTGCTCTTAATGCTGCTGAAGTGGAAGCAGTATTTCACGCTCCCTTGGAAATGTTTCTAAAGGTTTCAATCTTTAATTCCGACTCTGAGTTTGCCTCTTGTCTATCTAGGAGTTTATATGGCTTCGGAGATATATAATTTTGCAATGGTTGTTCAGGATGATAATCGGAGATCAAAAGAGATACAGTGGGCTGGAGACCTGTGGCTGATGCATTTCTTTGACTATGAAATGAATGATAAGAAGTATGTGATATTTGGTTTAACTGCTGCGATTCTGATTAGGGCAGCATCTGTTGTGTTCAAAAGGTCACCAGCTTTCCTGGAGCAGAATCCAAAATTTAAGCCCAAGGTTTTGGATACTTTTATGCGTTGTTTTTAGTTATTATTAATTTGGTTGTAATGCATGTTATTATCCTCGGAGATCAAAGGAGATACAGTGGGCTGGAGATGTTGAACTTGGTTATTTCAAAGTGCATGGTCTGCTGTACTTTTTAGACTATCAGACCGATATATAAACGTTAGACCTGTTAAGTTTTACTGATCTTCTGCCTACCATTCAGATTAAAACAAGGCTTTGAAAAGAATAAGATTTTGGAGCCAATTGGCAACAAGTGTGAAGCAATATCTTCCTGGAGTATTATTGTCAAGACACTCACTCTAGATCTTCCTTCTGAGCTTCCCTCATGTCAGTCATCGCCAATGAATTTGAAGTTTTTGTTTGTGCATAGCTATTGACTGCTTGGTGTCCTCGCAGGTCCTCCTTCCATGCGCAGAATGCTTATTCTATGACATCAATACCTTTCAGAATATAGTTCACAGGGTTGTGGAGGAAAGGCTATCCATACTACCATTTTAGAGATAGTTTAAACCAGTTCAGAAAAATAGAAGTTCAGCTGCAAAGCTTCAGCTTGAATGACGATCATGAAAGCCAGAACTGCTCTTTGCCTGATGAAAGGAATTTTTCTCTCTTTTCTCCAAAAAATGAGAAAAACCCTTCTCTGTTGGCTTATGAATAGAAGTGGCCTTGCTATAAGTCATATTGTTTTTTCATGTTTTAGTGTGAAACTTCAGTATTCATCCTTCTGAATGTAGAAACATTGTAGAGTATTGATTCACTTAAAACATTAACCAATTATGATGGGTGCTTTGACAAGCTATTCTGTTAGAACCTTGGTGGAGAGAGAGATTTATATATACCCATGTCGGATTAGATCACAGTTGGACTGGTGATATATATCTAAATCAGACTCTCTAAAATATGATATAAAGGATTTAGATTCAAATATACATTCATATCTGGCAAATCATATTTAACTCAAAATTGATTCCATTGATTGGCCTTGTGACATATGGTGTACTTTTCATCCAACCCTATCTTTTTGTAACCCTAGCTGACCCTAAGAAATGGCAAGGACAATTGTCCACAAAGTTGGAGTGAGTTTTCTTTTTTAGGGTTAATTACAGTGAAGGTCCTTAAAGTATAGCGTTAGTCTCATTTTTGTCCCAATATGTCAATTGTATTATTTTGATCCTTTAAGTATTAAATATATTTTTATGTAATTTCTCAAGTAAACAACATTTAAATTACTAACGGTCTTTTATCATAAGTTTGTTACGTAATACTAACTATGAGAAAAAAAAATTGTATAGTTGTTAACCAAATACTTGTAACTCTCGACAAAAAATGTATAATTTTGTTAGCTCTTGATCAAAATTTGAATAGTTCATAATCAAAATTATGTAATTTGGGTATTTCTTTGATCAAAATTTAAGCAAAAATTTTGTCAAAGTTATCCAAATTATTTCTTTGCTCATATTTAAGTATTATGTAA